AAAACATTAATATTATTATGCATTAGTGGAATTGATTGAAGTGATTTAAGGTAGTGTTGGACAATGTTGGTGGATGACGTCGAAAAGATTCCTTACTTTGCTCATAAAAGTGAAAGGAAAATACTACTACTCTATAAATTCTACTCCCACCTTTTATTCACTCTCACAAATTTAAGAAAAAAGTTAAATAGACCCTCCAAGTCTCCAACTAGGAGTGAAAGAACTTTAAAAAAATTAGGCCTAGACCTGTAACGAAAATCTAAAGCCTAGACCTGAGCCTGTATGTAGGCTTTTTGTTAGGCTCAAGCTGGAACCTACAATTGGCCTGGCCTGGCCTGAAGCCTTTTTAAAAGTCTATTTAATATTTAGGACATTAAAAAGACTTTAAAGTAAATCCTACTTTGAACCTATTTAAAGCCTACACAATCGTTATGTTGTGGAACCGTGTCCACCTTGCAAGGTGGACAGGGTTCTATGTTCATAATTATAAAGATATATATTCATAATTTTTGAACATCATATACATAATTATTTAACTTTATATTCACAATTACAGAACTCTATGTTCATAATTACTGAACTATATGTTCATAATTATAAAGCTATATATTCATAATTTTTGAACTTTATATTCATAATTATTGAATCTCTATATTCATAATTACATAACTATATGTTCATAATTATGTCCACAACTCTATGTTCATAATTATAGACCTATATGTTCATAATTTTTTAACTATATATTCATAATTATGAACAGTTTTGGAACCGTGTCCACCTTATATATTAAGGTGGACACGGTTCCACAGCATAATTTGCCAAGCCTACATGTTAAGAGTTTTTAAAAACTTTAATAAGTATATCTAAATAATTTAAGAAATATACCAAATTCAAAATTAATACATAATTACATAAGTATATCACCACAATGCAAGTATAATAGCATTAAAATATAAAAAAGAGTAAAACAAGTCACGACTTCAGAATGCTCGTTAACTTGTTTAGAAATAAATTCAATTGTATTATTGTTTGTTATCTTATATAGTCTCATAAGTAATTAACAATCAACTCACATAATTAAGTTGGGACATTTTCTTAAATATTATGACAGTAAGAACAATTAATAATAAAAAAAAAAAACAATAAGAACACTTATAGCAGGATTAACAGCAATGTTTATAGTTGAATCATAATTTTGAATGAGATTTTGGAGGTGGAGGATTAGACTTTGGTAATTATATATACTTGGGGTTATATTGTAAATATAAAAATATATTAGGTATATAAAATAGTATATATATATATATATATATATATATATATATATATATATATATATATATATATATATATATATATATACACGTACGTATGTATATAAATAGGCCAGACTTGTAGGTATGAAGGCCGAGCCTGGTATATGTAAGCATGGTCTGTGTAGTTTAATAGGTTTTGAAATTGGTTCAAGCCTGGTCTTTTTACTAAACGAGCTAGGTCTAACTAGGCCTTAATTATGCCATAGGCTAGGACATAGGTCCCTACAAGGGGCCTGGCCTATTCCCACTCCTACCTCCAACTTTACACGAAAATACAATTAGGCTCTAAACTTTTAAAAAGTACAATTAAACACTCCAACTTATTAAAATTGATCAAATAAGTCCAATTTATCTGCAATCCCACTAGTCGCCCGTTGACCGCCATTAGCCATCGTTAACCACATCATTGAAAAAAAAAATAACAACCATCGACTGTCGCCCTCTCCCGCAGAGAAGGCATCCATCTTGGGAGAAGGAGACCCAGATGGTCTCCATCTCCAGCGACCATTGGTCGCCTTCTTACGTTGAGAAGGCTAGGTTGCCTTCTCAACCTTCTCCATTGGATAAGGTAAGCAACCGATGATAGTTCAAAATCGCCGATCACTAGTATTTATCCTCGGAGTACATTGGATGTCGCAAGAGAGTCACGGAAATCTTGTGACTTACTATTAGAGGTTATTAATAGGATTTTGGGTTTCAATGCTCCAAAATAACTAATATGTTTATGGGCTTAATTAAACTTTTCAAAATTATGATTTTTGTGCACACACAATCAGAAAAGAGAGAAAAAAAGTTGAAAAGTAAAAAAGATTGACAGCCTTTACCACACCCAACAAGTGAGGGTCAAGTGCCATCCAGCGAGTTGTTTGCACATATTTTTTGCCTTGAAAGTTGTGACAATATCAACCACTTGAAATAAGGGTTGATTTTTTCTCTTTTCCCTCTTCCTCATTCATGTAAAAAAACTCACAAAAATCTTCTTACTAGGGATACTCTACCCAACTATATATCATTATTCGTGCCTATCCTTCAAAACTCCTAACCCCACATGGCTACAATCCTTCAAAACTCCTAACCCCACATGGCTACAATATTCATGATTCACCTTTACCAATTACCACTATATAAACCCCTCATTTCACCTACCTGGAACTCATCCGATCCACAAAACCAAAGCAAGCAAACACCATACCACTACTGCAAACTAGCTTCAGCACTCTAAAGCACATACAGATCAGAGGATTATATATATATGGACGGCAAGCGCAGTAGAGGAAGAGCTGGATTTCTTAAGGGGAAACTGACGTGGTCTCTGTATCGTGCATCCGCCACCCACAAGGTGAAGCCCAATAAACCCACCGCCGATGAGGAGCATTTAAGGTCCAGCAGACCACATCAGAGTTACAACAACAACATCCCTGCTCATCAACTCACTCACCTCCCCACTCAAACCAGATCAGTTTCCTATTATCATCCCACAACTACTGACGACTCTTACCTCTACGGTGGTATTGCAGTTGATGACGAAATTGATCGCAAAGCTGCCAATTACATCTCATCCGTCCGGGAGAGGTTCAGCCTAGCTTGACGTACTATTGGAATTGAAGATAGATTACTCTCTACTACGTACTGGCTTAATTGCATCCTTAATATATAATCAGATCAGATCAGTGATGTCTTTTTTGCGCATTTGAAATAAGGAAAGAATAATGTTTAGATAGATAATTAATTAGAGCAGGAGCCAGGAGCATGCATGTAGTGATCGATATGATGACTTTTGTTGCATGCATGGCTACCGGCCATGCAATATTATATTTGAGCTATGTTTAATATATGGAAGAGAAAGTAGATTAAAGTGCATGAGTGTCTTCCTAAACCAAATTTATGATGATTATTTTTTTGAAAATAAAAAATCTATTATATATGTGTGTTTGTGTATGTATTTAATCTTTCTCATATTTCATATCAAACAAATTGAAAAAGTTATGGGAATATATGCAAAACTAATCTTTTTAATTTTTCTTCAAAATGCATCAAGTTGATACCCTAAAGTCTATAGGGACGATTACAATAGGCTGGAACTCTAATTCCATTCGCTGGTATACATAAAACAAGAATATATTAATGGCTGTAGTTAATTAACTCATTGGAAACTGAACAAATAGCTTTCGGATTTGACAATATATGATTGCATATACGTGTGTGTATATATTGTGTGTGTTAGTGACCCTAACTATTGGACTGTGGTTTGGAGAGACGCGTCCAGAATTGCTACTGTTGGTTTTATGATTAATAGGTAATTAATGGCGGGCAAATACTATTCTTAGGAACATTGTATTAGGATTTTGATGATACTAATGTAATGTAGAAAGTAGACCCCTAACTGTTAGCTTTTTCGATCGCTACTTTCGTTCTAGACGAGAGTTGCCATATAACTCCCATGTAATTCGTGTTAAGTTAGACAAACATACGAAAATGAGTTATGTCTAGTTGTTAGGGTCTCCAAGACGAAAGAAGACACGAGGCAAGATGAACAGCAACAAGAATTTATGAGGAGTTGTCAACTACCTCGAAAGGACAGATTTATTAAAGACGATTCTCTTCATGCATTCTTTCTCCTCAACAACGAGAAGAATGTTTCATCTGTCTGATTTGACAACATCCTAGGAAAATAAGGATCTCATCTAATGGGGACACGTTTACCAAGGAGCATTAAATGAAGATGTACCATTTCCTGGAGCTAAAGGACAAAACCCTAATGCTTCCCACACCTTCAACGGCTACATGGTACAACCTCATTAATGGAGCATTTAATGCATGGAGCTCCCCGGTCCTTATCCACTGGTTAAAAGGTTTGAAAATTTCATCTCCCTCCAACGGATGAATTTTCATCACCTATATAAACCCACCTTCATCAACTAAGAAGGTGCTGGTTCAACTTTCACTCGATCTATTTACTTGCAAAAGCTCTTAGACGCTCTCAACTCTTTCAAGCTTTTGTGAACCAGTGTTAAGGTGTTAAGATATTTGAAGAAGTTCATTGATCATCATCTTACACCTTAAAGAAGTCTTGTCACTTGTACAAAGCAATCATCCTTCAGTCAAGACTTCATCACGTTGGAGAAATCAGAAATCTCTTTCTACCAACCTCAACTCTGAAGAAGAAGTTGATAGAGGTGGAGTAAACTCGAGGAGTTGAAAAACCTAAGAAGGCTGTCCGGCTCAGTGATCAAGGAAGTCTTTGTGTAATTGTACTAACGGGTGATAGTGCAATCCTTCCATAAGTTGTGGAAGAAGAGTGGAGTAGGCAACGTTTGCCGAACCACTATAAAATCTCTTGTCTCTTTATCTCTCTACTTACGCATTTCATTTCTGCATCATATTAACATTATCATCATTACCGAAAGTTCTCTTTTAAACGTAAACTCGTGCAAAGCAAATAATCGAATCTGACATATCCGCTGCGCCAAAACACTGAAAGGCGTTTTTAGGGCAAAAACACGAAAGAGTCTATACACCCCCCCCCCCTCTAGACTCTCACTACACTGTATCGGGACCAACAAGTGGTATCAGAGCCAAATACCTTGAACGGTAAAGGTTTTGCTTTTACTGCCTGGTAGATCCCCTATCAAAATTCTGAAAAAACTGCATATTTTTCAGCTCTGCACGAATTTTTGTAAAATGGAAAAAGATCATGCTAATCACTCTAAGCAGTTTGTTTTTAGTCTTGCTAAATTTGATGACTGGAAGATAAGAATGCAGGCACTCCTCTGCTCCATACATGACGAAATGTGGGACGTCATAACAACTGGACCAATTACAGTTATGATGGAAAATACACAAGCGGCAGTTCAAGGAGCTGGTGCTGAGCAAATGATACCGAAGCCAAAAGATTCATATACCTCGGAAGAAAGGACAAGAGCAAACCTGGATAACGTAGCAAGAAATATCCTCTACAACTCCCTTGATGACTCCTTGTTCCCAAGTGTCCGAAAGTGCAAGAATGCCATGGAAATATGGAATGTCTTGATGGAACTAGGAGAAGGGGATGAGCAGGAGAAAGACAACAAGCTGACTGTAGCCATGAAGAAGTTTGAAGATTTCAAGATGCTTCCAAATGAGACAATCATGGACATGGAGCTGAGATTCACCAGACTCATGGTTGATCTGACTGATCTCGGGAAGGAATTGACCGAGAAAGAAAGGAATCTAAAAATTCTTCGTGGCCTGCCAAAATCTTGGGAAATGAAGGTCATTGCAATGAGGGACAATCGAGACATGAAAACAACGAGCACGGCCAAGATCTTTAGTGATCTCAAAGCATATGAGTTCGAACATGGACCGAAAGACGCCGAAGAATCAGAAACGAGAAATATCGCTCTAATGGCCAACCAATCTGCATCAACATCCAACAGGTCGAAATCTAACTCTTATGATTTTTTATCTGATGAACAATATGCACTCTTTGTCAGGAAAATGAAAAGGTTCATGAGGAAGAACAACTTTCAAGACTCTCATCGTTCGGGTCACCGAAAGCAACACGAAAATTCTCCTCAAACCTCAAAGGCAGAAACCACAGACTCGCAACTGTTGTGCTACAATTATCGTAAACCAGGATATTTTAAGGCCAATTGTCCTCATCCAATAGTGAGCAAGCATCAAGATAGCAACACTTCCAAAAGCCCATCCAAGGAGACTGGAGAAAGATACAAAAGAAATGACAAGCCAGAATCTTCAGGCTCCCGAAACGAGAGAAGAAGAGAGGCAATGGTGGTGAACGAAACCTCTGCCACAGTTGAGAACGAAAATAGCTCCTCAAGCTCGAGTTCAGACGATGAAAGTTCTGAAGAAGAAAAAGGACTCCTATGCCTTTTCAGTCAGGAATCAGAAGATCTATGCCTTATGGCTGATGAAGATGAGGTAAACTCTCATTCATCTTCTTGTTATTCAGCTGAGTCAAGTTCTGTAGGGAGTCAAACCTCCAATGAATCAGTTACCGAAATGATGAGGAGGTTCAAAGTGACAAATAACACCTACTCCAAACTTAAGGAGGAGAACTCTCGGCTCACAATTAGCTACAATGCGCTAAGGCAAGTTCGAATTGAGAACATTAAGCTAGCCATTGCTAAGGAGCAACTTGAGAAAAATGTTCTCACTCTGAAGGAGCAGTGCACAACAAGAGAAAGGAGAGAGCAAGAATTGCTTGAAGTCTTGGACAAATTTAATAATTCATCCAATCTAATGGATCGAATGATAAATGACTCCAGACTGCCCGGGGAAAGAACGGGAATTTGTTTTAACCCCAGCTCCCCTCACAAACCTGCTTGAACAAATCCACGAATGCATACTCACACGAAGACTTTCAAGCTGCATTTGTTCAAGGACCAACCCAGGCGTTTGAGCCAGTGACAAAAGTTAACAACGATGCCATACCACAATCAACAAGCTTACCGAAAGGAAAGGCTGTACAACGAATTGTGGATCCTCAAAATGAAAATTCTTACAAAGGCAATCCTAGACAAAGATATGTCAAAAGGAATGGACCAAATGGAAATAGACAGAATCTACACCATAAGAAAGGTCAGCCTGCTAAGAATATTCAATCAAGGAAAAGGCCGAAGGTTGACCAGAGGCAATATCGTCCTAAAACAATACAAGAGAATCCTGATCAAGGAAACCCAAAAATTGGACGAATCAGACAAACCGAAAGATCCTTCATAAGATCTGGGTATGGCAATGGATGGACTGGGCCATCAGAAGAAGATTGGTATGATTACCGAGAACCTCTTTCTAAAGTAGAATTACAAAGGATTCATCTGAGTAAACAAACCGATCATCTCAAGTATTATGAAAATCCTCCTCAGGAATACCTTTGGAAAAGATATAATGCTAAAGTCTTTGCCAGCATACATTATGATTATCGCACATCTAATGGGTATAGAGGACCAAAGATGAGTCGTGGACACTCTAGGTTGATGTGGGTTCCAAAGTTGACAGCTATTCCTCAAGGACCTGAAATTCAAGGGGTACCTAAAAATATATAATCTTTGTTGCAGGAAAAACAAGTCATATGGTATGTTGATAGTGGGTGCTCAAGACATATGACTGGTGATAAAACAATGCTGAGCAACTTCATAGAAGTAGATGGTCCTAAAGTCATTTTTGGAGGAGAAAACAGTGGCAAAACTCGTGGAAAAGGGGATATTATCAAAAAGGGAATAACGATACAAGATGTGTCTTATGTTGAAGGACTAAAGTTTAATCTTCTAAGCACGAGTCAATTCTGTGACAAAGGATATAAAGTTGAATTCTCCAAGGACGAGTGTAAAATCGTCAACACGAAGGATGGCAAGACAGTCTTAACTGGTCAACGAAAGAAGAACATGTACGTAATATCTTTAATTTCTTCTAACGCTAATGTTTGTTTTGTAGCCAAAAGCAATGCAGATCTTAATCAAGAATGCCACAATAAACTTAGCCATCTAAACCTAAAGACAATCAGCAAGCTCGCCAAAAGAAATCTCGTAAGAGGACTGCCCGAAGCATCATACACGAAAGATAAAATATGTGAGGCATGTCAAAAGGGAAAACAATTCAAGTCATCTTTTAAGTCAAAAGATGTGGAGGCAAACTCTCGATCTCTAAGCCTTCTACATATGGATCTCTTTGGACCAGTTGATCCAGCAAGTTTAAGTGGAAGAAAGTATACTCTCGTTATAGTAGATGACTACACGAGATATACTTGGGTAACTTTCTTAAAGAAGAAGAATGAGACAGAAACAGTTCTTCCAAATCTCTTAAGACAACTTCAAACAGAAAAGGAGGTTAAAATCATTCGGATAAGATCAGACCAGGGAACTGAATTTGTTAATAAGGTCATAAAAGAGTTCTGTGCCCAAAATGGAATCTTTCATCAACTCTCGGCAGCACGAACCCCTCAGCAAAACGGAGTGGCAGAAAGGAGAAATGGAACCTTGAAAGAAGCTGCACGTACAATGGTCTCATTTTCAGGCCTACCAAAGAGATTTTGGGCCGAAGTTATAAATACGGCATGCTACACACAAAACAGATCTCTGATCAACAAATCTCACAACAAGACACCATATGAGCTATGGAAAGGTAAAATACCTAGTATTGGTTATTTTCATGTCTTTGGTTGCAGGTGCTTCATACACAACAACGGGAAGAATCATTTAAGGGCCTTTGATGAAAGAGCCGATGAAGGACTGTTCATGGGATATTCCTCAGTAAGCAAAGCATTTAGAGTTCTAAATAAACGAACGATGGTAATTGAGGAATCCATCCATGTTAAATTTGATGAACAATCTGAGAAGAATCCATCTGACATCAAAACATCAAACAATTCTAGTCAAAATAATCCTCAACATATTGATGAAGAAATTTCAGACGAAGAAGATATACTATCGTCCTACACGAAATATCAGCTGAAGGTTTCTGAACCCGAAACTACAACTCAAGAAAAGGTCACAACTCAACAAAATGAACCTGCCTGTACCACAACATCTGAACCAATGATCTATATTGATTTACCATATATTCCTGAAATGGATGTTCAAAATCAACAAGATACATTCAAACCTGATCTTAGGTGGCTATGAGATCACCCACCTGATCAAGTAATAGGAAATGTCCAAGAAGGTGTACGAACAAGAGCCTCCTTACACGAAAGCATGATGGCATGCTTCTTATCTCAAATGGAACCAAAATCCATAGAAGAAGCCCTAAGTGACCCTGATTGGGTAATAGCCATGCAAGAAGAGCTCCATTAGTTTGAACGTAATGAAGTATGGGAATTCGTATCGAGACCAACCCATCAGAATGTCATAGGAACAAAATGGGTCTTCAGAAACAAAATGAGTGAAGATAGGCTCATTGTTAGGAACAAAGCTCGTCTTGTTGCTAAGGGGTACTGCCAAGAAGAAGGAATTGATTTTGATGAAACCTTCGCCCCCGTAGCAAGACTGGAGGCCATACGAATATTTCTGGCTTTTGCAGCTAATAAAAACATCAAAGTCTATCAAATGGATGTCAAGAGTGCTTTCTTAAATGGACTTCTTGAAGAAGAAGTATATGTTGAGCAACCACCTGGCTTTGCAATCAATAATGATCATGAAAAGGTCTACCATCTCAAAAAGGCTCTTTATGGGCTAAAACAAGATCCACGAGTTTGGTATGATACACTCTCACACTTTCTCATAAACTGTGGATTTATGAAAGGAGCCGTGGACAAAACACTCTTTCGTATCAAAGACAATGATCACATTCTTCTCGTACAAATTTATGTTGATGACATTATTTTTGGGAGCACGAACCCGGCATTATGTGAAAAGTTCTCAACACTCATGCAAGGCAAGTTTGAAATGAGCATGATGGGAGAACTCAACTACTTTCTGGGATTGCAAGTAAAGCAATGCCCAAATGGAATCTTTATAAGTCAAGCCAAATACACTAAGGATCTAATTCGAAAATTTGGCATTGATGGGAAAACATCTGTTAAAATTCCTATGAGCACATATCTTAGAATGGATATTGACAATGAAGGAAAAGATGTGGATCAGAAAAACTTTCGTGGCATAATTGGATCTCTCCTATACCTGACAGCAAGCAGACCTGACATTTCGTTTGCTGTTGGTGTATGTGCAAGATTTCAGGCGAAACCGAAAGAAAGTCACTTAAGTGCAACCAAAAAGATCTTGAGATACCTTAAAGGGACGCAAAGCGTTGGTCTTGGTACCCGAAAGAAGGGTCTTTCGATCTTGTTGGCTATTCATATGCCGACTTTGCAGGATGCCGAATCGATAGAAAAAGCACCTGAGGAACCTGCCAGTTCCTAGGGGGAAGACTTGTGTCATGTTTTAGCTAGAAACAACATTCTATTGCCACTAGTACAGCTGAAGCCGAATATATAGCAGCTGGAAGCTGTTGTGCTCAAATTTTGTGGATGTCACATCAATTGAAAGATTATGGTATTAATGCACGAGAAGTGAGCATTAAATGTGATAACACCAGTGCAATTGCCATCACACATAACCCCGTTCTTCACTCACGAACTAAGCATATTGATATCAAATATCATTTTATTCGTGATCATGTCGAGAGGAAAGACATATCTCTTGAGTATGTTAACACTGATGATCAACTTGCAGACATACTCACGAAACCTTTAAGTGAAGCAAGATTCTCCTCTCTAAGGCATGAAATAGGAATGATTGAGATGACATAAAGTAATGAGAATCAAATCTACAAAGGTTCTCATTCTCGATACTCAAAAGATTTGATCCATCCTCACACGCAAAGACCCCTATAAATAAGGTACACAAAATAATTAAACCTTCATAACTAACAAAATACTAGTGTTTGTCTTTGTGTGTGCAGATATGAGTACAGGAAGCGAGAGAACAATCACTGAGGCACAAGAAGGGAAAAGTGAAATCCTGATTGATCCAATTGTGACCGAGCAAGAGTTTAACCAATTTCTTGAACACTCTCAAAACATACAGAGCATTCTCCGTGACCCAACGGAAAATGAGTCAAGAGAGTCATTCCACTCGGTTGGCAATCCTATAGGGTATATCAAGGAAGACAGCGTGCTGGAACGAAGTGTCAGCTTTGACTACTCATCCCCGAGCACTTCTTCTAAAATGCCATCACCTCTCAAATCCACCGCAAGCAGTAAGAAAAAGAAGGCTTAAATGACACTGTTAGGCCACAATGATAAGTTGTGATGTTATTATCTTCAAAATGATGCGCTTCTCTAATAAATAACTTTATCCTTCCATATGTCTCTGATAGCGTGAATTACACGAAACGTGAATCAGTGTCTAAAATATTTTAACAAGTTTTACACGCTAACATTATGCCTATATAATGATTTCTCTCCTCATAAGTTTCACTCACACTCAGCCCCTAGTAAAAGAAAAAGCTTGCACGATGGATAAGGGTAAAGAGAAAATGGAAGATGCAGAAATTCGAGCTATTCATCATCTTCACGAAGCAGGCAAACTACCAAATGCTACAATAACAAAGATTGTAGAAGATGGTGAAAAGGTTCACATAACATTCACCATGCCAAACTCGGCCTCTCCAAAAGATGAAGCCGAAAGAAGGGCCATTCGCCTAAAACAAAATCTCCAGAAAACATGTTTGCCCAATGCTACGATTATCAAACTGGAGGAAGATGGTGAAAGGGTCAATGTGACATACTCCATGCCCAATACCACAAATCCTAAGGAAAAGGAGGCTCTGGACAGCATTGTCAATGAATCTAGGGCGAAAAAGGCATATTACTTGGAATAAGCCAACCGGCT